GCAAAGGCTGAACCATGTGCCCCGTACAATGTACGGCTGTTCGCCACAGCAAGTGCTGCAAAGGCTGAACCATGTGCCCCGTACAATGTACGCTGTTCGCCACAGCAAGTGCTGCAAAGGCTGAACCATGCGCCCCGTACAAGTAGGCGTTCGCCACACAGTGCTGCAAAGCTGAACCATGCACCCGACAGTCGGCTGTCCAAGCAATGCTGCAAAGGCTGAACCATGTGCCCCGTACAATGTACGGCTGTGCACCACAGCAGTGCTGGAAGGCTGAACCATGTGCCCGTGCTGTTCACCACAGCAAGTGCTGCAAAGGCTGAACCATGTGCCCCGTACAATGTACGGCTGTGCACCACAGCAAGTGCTGCAAAGGCTGAACCATGTGCCCCGTACAATGTACGGCTGTGCGCCACAGCAAGTGCTGCAAAGGCTGAACCATGCGCCCCGTACAATGTACGGCTGTGCACCACAGCAAGTGCTGCAAAGGCTGAACCATGTGCCCCGTACAATGTACGGCTGTGCACCACAGCAAGTGCTGCAAAGGCTGAACCATGTGCCCTGTGGCTGTTCACCACAGCAAGTGCTAGGCAAAGGCTGAACCATGTGCCCTGTACAATGTATGGCTGTGCACCACAGCAAGTGCTGGGAAGGCTGAACCATGTGCCCGTACAATGTATGGCTGTTCACCACAGCAAGTGCTGCAAAGGCTGAACCATGCGCCCTGTACAATGTATGGCTGTTCACCACAGCAAGTGCTGCAAAGGCTGAACCATGCGCCCTGTACAATGTATGGCTGTGCACCACAGCAAGTGCTGGGAAGGCTGAACCATGTGCCCGTACAATGTATGGCTGTTCACCACAGCAAGTGCTGCAAAGGCTGAACCATGCGCCCTGTACAATGTATGGCTGTACACCACAGCAAGTGCTAGGAAGGCTGAAAGAGTTGTGAGTTCACCACAGCTATACATTGTACAGGGCCGATAGGAAAACACTAGTGGAATACACTCACTGTAGGTGTTACATATGAGTGTGGTGCAGAGAGATTGTGTGAATAGGTATTAGTGACATGAACAGCTGAAATGGTGATAAATGAAGGAAATACCATGTGGGTACACATCAATGCACCTGTTAAGACGATCGTAATCGATATTTATTGCTCAAAATGATGTAATTCGGGATGGAATCCAGATGTTTCCTATCAATCGTGGGAATATTTCACGGCTAGCGCAGCGAGCAGTGTGCCAGTGACAGAAATCTGAGCTGCGCTGCGTTTCGGGGATTAGAATTTCAAGGCTGATTTGGGTAGAGGTGATGGTTTTGGCTGGCGTTGGAAGTGTAGGTGTGGATTTAGGCTTCAGCAGCAATACGTCATCAATCTATTTTTCACACTCTCTCACAAACAAAACGTATATAGAACATCAGGTGACTCTTGAAAGAGAAAGCTCCTTACACACAGTTTCTAGGCCAACGGTGTGAGAGTCTGTCAGTGTGTGAGGGCCTTCTGTATTATATGTTGCAGTGCCCAGACTTGTTGGATATCCCTAGGCAACCGACATGTATGAAGCTAGGTACTGGGGGATTTTATCAGCCTATACAATCCTACATGTGCAAGCAGGGTTCTCACACATGTTGTTTGCCTAGGGATATCCAACAAATCTGTTGCAGAGCCCAACAGGTCTGGGCTCTGCAACATACATATATACATGCAGTATATATATACACTATACATGGCCTACTGTAGAGGCTGTTGTCCTTTGCTAAATCCCAACTGGGTGTGATGTTTTGATAGCTATATACATAGACTTGTGTTGCAGATGTTGCTGATGTCCAGCTACTATGGGGGCTACCGCATGCCACATAAAAACAACCCTTATCGCTCACGTTCAAGTAGCAGCATTTGCACGTGTAATTTTAAAAAAAACCAGCCTTTGCAGCACTTGCTGTGGCGAACAGCCTCTTCCCTTTTGCTAAATCCCAACTGGGTGTGATGTTTTGATAGCTATATACATAGACTTGTGTTGCAGATGTTGCTGATGTCCAGCTACTATGGGGGCTACCGCATGCCACATAAAAACAACCCTTATCGCTCACGTTCAAGTAGCAGCATGTGCACGTGTAATTGTTGAATGGAAAGGAGTGTAAGTTTCAGGTTTTTCAACCTCTATCTAAAGCCTGCATGAATTTGAGGCCCAAAGTCCTTTTCTTATGACCCCAGGTATCAAGCATGTACCGCTGCTCCAACTTGCACGATAAGGATTGTTTTGTCAGAGCCTATCACAAATGGCATCGAGCATAGCTGCCAAACCAGATTGGCTAGAGGCATCATTAGCTACTACAGTTGAACTCCTCTAATCCAGACAGAGATGGGACGGAAGGAAGTGTCTCTATTAGTGTGAGGTGTCCTTATTTCAGGGGTTGAGTTGCACGCAAGAACTGTTCTTTGGGAAAGAAAAGGTGTCCTTATTAGAGAGGTGTCCTTATTTCAGGGGTTGAATTGCATGCAAGAACTGTTCTTTGGGAAAGAAAAGGTGTCCTTATTAGAGAGATGTCCTTATTTCAGGGGTTGAATTGCATGCAAGAACTGTTCTTGGGGCAGTGTCCTTAGAGAGAGGGTTTCCACTGTGGACGAGCAGATAAACATGGTACATATGCAGGCGTCAAGCAAAGCAGTTTCAGGTTCATTTTCTCAACAAAAAAAACAACTTTCCATTTAATGGTCTTCGGTAATAGAAAAAAAACTCGAAACTATCACAATGTGTATTTAGTGTTCAGCATTCCTATCGGCAGGCTGAGTAGGGAAATGTATATGCTTCCTGTGGTTGGGGACAATCCTGTATACCTCCATAAAACTATATACCAGATAATGGAAAACATGTCGCCACATACATACGCCAATAGATCCACGAAGTGCCTTACATACGCGGACACTGAGGACACTTGCGCATACATCACCTTTTTGTTTATGTCTTGTATGATGAATTTGCCTGTTGTGGGATCCAGTGTTCAAACAGCATACCAGACATTATAGAGGAACTCCTCTAATCCAGACACCAATGGGACAGGAGAAAGTGTCCATGTTAGAAGGGTGTCCTTATTTCAGGTGAGCACTTAGAACCGCTGTTGCATGATTTTTTATGGAGAACTCTTCAGAGATTATTTATGGGCTGGGACAGTTTTTTTTTCTTTCTCCGTGACCTAAATTTTTCCCTTCACACATTTCCACAATTGTGACAAGCAGGCAAGATTTTGTGCTGCTTTGGCTTGTTGTCTATGAACACAACAACCACACCACGTCCATTGTAAAACCTTTGTTCGCTGCATATTACTAGGGCTATATATAGTCAGAAAGCTCATATCTACTTCAGTAGCCTACCTCAATAGACTTGTATATAGGCTACAGCGGCTCATGATTTCACAGAGAGGCACAATAGCAACGACATGGGGTTGTCATCATCTAAACACATTGAACATGTATCACTTTGGACGTAATATTATTTATATTGCTCATAAGATGCCACGTGAATATGATCCATAATACAGTGACATCCTAGTGTATGTGACTTATAAGTGGAAGAACTATGATGATGTAACCGTGATGAAAAGATGATGAATAGAATTCGTAATAGTTGTGTAGTATAAAGGTCTCGTTAAGGAGCCGTATAATATAGCATGTAGGAAATATGTGATACTTTCACAATGGCAGCCCTTTAGCAATGCGCGAGGGTCAAAAAAGGTCATGTAACCCCAAAGTGGCATACACCTACACAGACTCCAAAGTATTGCGCTGGTAAGAAATTTGGCAACTACACGAGTGTAGCGTAAACATATATCTTCCTTTGCAAGCTAACTCCATTTTGCTGAGTGCACATAAACCCAATATGGGCACTAACCGAGGCTAAATAAAGTGCTACATGGCACGGTTGTTAATGAATTGCCTGGCTAATTAAACAGCCAGCGAGAACAATAATTTGGCGACGGTTCGTAACATTACAGCATCCGCAAACAACGATCAAAGGAAAGGGTATTTCATCACGAATTTCGTAGAGCCAAAAAAGGGAGCGGCAACAAATTGAAACAAGAAACACTTGATAGTCATCTTATGGCCGTACGGAACACTTGTGAAAACATTTGAGGATTCGAATTCGCTTACATAAAACATAAAACTATGTACATAAGCAACCCCCTGGGTCTCAGCAGTATTATACCCAGTGTATATACTTTGTTTGTTGCCGTTTTTCTTGTGCAACAATAAGGCTATGACGACAACGCTAAATAATCAGAAAGGGCGGCAAATCGAGGTACCCATCAAAAGCCAACTCCCTTTCCTCCATGTTATGTATCCGACATTACCAGCCGTACGTACGTCTACAGTACGTACACACGCACAGGGCTATTTTGTAGCTAGCCTGGTTTATGCGTACGTTCGCTGCTCTGACGCGCTGTAAACTTGCTCCAACAAGCTACAATGGGATAGAAAACTGCCGTATAATATAGCAGTTCCCTGGTTGGCGTGTATTTTGAGCGCCCGAAGGTCTACGCGCGGCAACGTATCTCTTTCTCTACATGCACCCATGTGGAACGGCGGTAGGCGCCAGTGCACACGGCGGACGTTGAAGTGAAGTATACTACAGTCAATTGCACACACAAAACAGCTAACTAGAATTTGATTGTGAGTACTTTACGTACCTAAGAGCAGGAGCTTGACTTCGCGCGACTGCCGATCCGCGTCTTTACGCAGCATCTGGTCGATCTCCCGCGAGCGATCGAGCGCCGCTCGATCCTCCACACTCAACGTACACCCCATCGCTCCGTAGAAGTCACTCGAGCAGCGCTGTACCAGGTACTCTAGACTACCATACACTAAAAGCACTCTTGTGCTTGGAACGAAAAGCAGCTTCGACACTCTCCCAAGCACGAAAACCACGCCTGAACTCTCCGGATGGGCGCCTCATTGGCGGGCGCGTGTTTGCGCATGAGCATAAGAAATGTCAATGAATGGGGGGGTGGGGCTAGCTAGTAAGTAAAATGGCTACAGGAGGAGCTGAGCAGCAAATGCTTCAGTTCGTGCCCTTCGTGAGCAGGCTGGACGCCGGCTTTTGGCACGAACTGAGTCGCAGAAAACTCGAAAAGTACCATCTGAGCGAGGCGGCTCAGTATATCTCCGGATACTACACAAACAGTGGGCTCAATTTTGAAATCACTCGTGGCTAATTATACCTCAAAGTTATGTCCTCCTAGATTCAGTTCCTGGCCTACCTACAAATCTACTCTTGGAATACAGCGGATTTGAAAAGTTAGCCAGCAATGCTGAGTTTACAGTTAGATCATAATGATGTAATTATCCAGACCTCCAGTCCACCCTCCTTACGCATTCCCGTGTCCCGGTTCCATCATCGTCCTAAACACAATCGAGTCTTTCAAGACGTGCGACAAGAGGAAAATCTTGGAGGAGACGGGGAGACAGGTAAATGTACATGAGGACATGTAAACGCCATGTTTTCATGTCGTGTTACTGTAGATCTGGGATGATATCAACGATGGCAGTGCAGTTGATGATCCATCACTTCTGTCCAGATTCATGCTCCTTACATTTGCTGTGAGCTGTTGTCACACTCCCTCCTTCTCCTTCTGCATCCTTTCCCCCTTCTCCGCCTTCCCATCCTCCCCCTCTCCTTCCTCTTCCTCTCTCGATTCCCTTGCATTTCCTTCTCCTCCTCCTCTCCCTCCCTCCCTCCACCTTTCTCCCTTTTCCTCAAAAGGACCTGAAGAAGTACAACTTCCACTACTGGTTTGTGTTCCCCGCACTCTTTCCCAACGACCCACTGACCACACTCTCCATCAAGACCATCGGCAGTGTATGGAATGATCAGCAGGTCAGTATAATGCTTAGGTAAACCTATTAGCTTACATACACATTCAAGTATGTACATATGTGTATATACAAATTTGGATCACTGTATTGTGAGTATAGTATGTTTTAGTATAGTATGTTCTAAATCCAGCTGCAAAGTTTACAGAAGGCATACGACAGTTTCCGAAGTGCCCATCCCGGAATAGGGTTTTTCATAGTGGTAATGACTGATGATGGAACTGCAGCTCTCCACGAGCTGAGAGAAGCAGAGACATGTCTGTCGACAGAGAAGGTATACACAGAATCGTACGTGGAACCTCTGGTTAGTCTATAGTTAGCCCCTGTTACTGCAGATTAAGTGAAAGGTTTCTGTGCCAGTCTGTAGGTGATTAACAGGGTGGCTATGGAACGCTGCGTCCGCCAAAAGTAAGGGCTCTCCGCCTGTTTTTGATAAGCGGAGAGCCCTTACTTTTGGCGGAAACGGCGTTCCATAGGTGGCCACTTGCCACACATTCACTCCCAAAAGACCAAACGATGATTCAGACACATTTTGAACCATTTAATATACTTACATGAGCAGAGTTTAAACGGAGGGTATATAAACTTTAGGTAAACAGCATGCATGTATAAAGTAAGTCAAAGATTGTCCTTTTGTGATTGGAAATGTGGGGCATTCGTGTTAGATATCTTTCTCTTTTTTAGTTTATGTTAGGATTCTGTGACCCCAGCACCATGGAAACGAACCCGGGATGGCCTCTCCGTAACCTACTCATCCTTGCAGCACAGAAGTGGTCGGTTTCTAGCATCCGTAGTAGGCTTGCATAATAAAGCATCCTCCTCTCTCATTTTCTGGCGACCCAGGAGTGACCGATTGAACGTGGTTGACGTGTTGTGTTACCGTGACTACACCAGAGATGGGAGGAGACTAGTGTCACACTCACTCCTCCTGGAGGGAGTCAAACTCCCCGACAAAATGTCAACTGATGGTAATTTACACACCCACCTCCGTTTCTTCATGTCGCATTTTTGGTGTAAGTGCAGCGGAATGGTGTGTAATGGACTATTGTACTTTGCTATTATAACAAAGGTCTCATACCAACGTTAGACTGGCTACCCGTGTGAATTTGGCAAACGAACATAACTGTAGTGCTTGAACACCGACCAAAATGTTCTACTGACTTTATTCCATAGTTCTCCCAAAGGTGACAGGCTGGGAGAAGAATGACAAGAACAAGTCGGTGCCCAAGATGGTTAACCTCTCTTCTTCGATGGACCCTGTCAGGTGGGTGTGGCTTACAGGTCAAAGTTCACCTGCAAGAAAACGGTCTCATTTGGTGAAGGGATTTGGAAAAGTGGGGACAAAGGGAGGGCTATTTACAGCAAGTATTCCACTCTGCAATAATATTCAATGGATTAGGAATAATTGGTTCATCATTTTGTTTACTCACGTGCGTTAAAAAAAAAGCAGAACCATTCAAACCCTTATTGGTAAGGAGTCAAAATAGTTGTACACAAAATAGGGATAAGTGCAGCGAGATAGTGTTGCTATTCCACCTTACAACTATAGTCAATGCATTAGGGATGGTTGCATTGTCATTTCGTTGTCTCACGTTAGTGCAAGAAATGCAAAACTGTTGGAACCCTTATTGTGAGGTGGGTACGGGGGTGAGTGGGGGTAAAAGGACAGTAAAATAGAGAGGAGGTAGTAATACCATTCCAACCTCCAACTATAGTCAAAGTACTAGGGAGAGTTGGTTTGTCATTTCGTTCTCTCATGTGCCTGCAAAAAATGCGAAACTGTTCAAACCCTTATTGTGAGGCGAAAAAGAGGGGTTAATTTTAAATAAAAATAGATTGTGCTGCTATTCCATCCTCCAACTATAGTCAAAGTATTATGTATGCTTGGTTTGTCGTTTTGATTACTCACATGCCTGTAAAAAATGCAAAACCAAACCTTTATTGGGAGTGAGTGAGTAAGGGGGTGATGCTTGATGAAAAAGACAGTAAAACAGAGGCGATGCTTGATGAAAAAAGACAGTAAAACAGAGGCGAGATAGGACACAGTGAGATAGTGTTGCTCTTCTGCATTCCAGCTATAGTCATTAGGGGCGGCTCGCTTATCTTTTCCCATCCCAGGCTGGCTGAATCCTCTGTGGACCTGAATCTGAAACTGATGAGATGGAGACTTATACCGTCGCTAGATCTGGAGGCAGTCTCCTCCACAAAGTGTCTGTTGCTGGGGGCAGGCACACTGGGCTGTAACGTTGCTAGGTGCCTCATGGTAAGAAGACCAGACCCAGTGAATAGGCTGTGACATTTGTTGAAAGCTGACATTTTGCCTTCTATAGTGCAGCCTTCATTAAAGTACGTTTGCGCTGAGTGAAAATCTTCCGATTCCAGCACCGTATGCGGCCACGCTTGGCATCAAAATGTAACGCTTCACACTCCGGTTCCTTCAGCGCTTACCCCGTTCAAATCCGCTGCGTAGTTTTTTTCGCTATGCACGTTATGCACAATCCCATACATTTCTACGCATTCTTTACATACGGCGAGAATAGTACCGCCCTCCTCAATCCTCATTGTCTACTTCCGCATGCATTCTCAGTGTGAACATACTTTAGTCTGGTGACCCCACCATCACAATAGAGTAGTGTGCTGGCAATTGAGTAATTTCTTGGTCGTGCTGAATCAGTAAATCGAAATTGCTGAACGTCACGTGACCACAGAAAACGGAAGCTCTGTTCACACTGTGTATATACGAGCAAATCCAAACCAACTTACGTTCGATTACATGTAATAATCACAAGACAGCATACCGTACTGTTTTCATCGGAACCAAGAAATAGTTAAATTTTCACCAGACCATAATTATTTCCTCCCTTGAGGGTGTGCCTTACAGTTCCATAAACTCAAGTCATTTTTCATTCATCTGAACTGCGCAGGGATGGGGCGTGCGGCACATCACTCTTCTGGATAATTCCACGGTCTCGTACTCGAACCCAGTCCGTCAGAGTCTGTTCACGTTCCACGACTGTTCCAGTGGCGGGAAACACAAGGCCAAGGCAGCTGTCGAGAGCATGAGACTCATCTTCCCTGGAGTGGTGGGTAGTACATATGTATTCAAGAGGAGGAGGGGAGGAATAAAGAGGGAGAGATTGAGAGTGGGTGCGTGGGAACAAAGAAAGGAAAGACTGGAAGAATGAGTGTTAGGAGAGAGAGGGAAGAAGATAGGAGGAAGAGAAATAAGGAAAGAGTGGGAAGTGAGTGGATTGTACAGTAGAGGAGCTGTAATCGTACGAGCCAGACTTCCCAGGGGTAATTTTCCCACATTATGTCTGGCCGCAAGTCATGGGGAACTGTATGATGTTTCTTTTGCAGAAAGCTGAAGCAGTTGACAGCAGCATACCAATGCCAGGACACTCGGTTGGAACCAATGGTACTACAATATTCATTACAACTACAATATTCACAAGTACTCTACAACAATCATGTGTCCACTAATCGAAACGTGGGTGTGCCCTACAACCCAGCAACATATTATTCATGAATACCAGTTCACACTCTTCCTTTCTCCCGTCCAAAACAGCTGAAGCCATACAGAAGGCCAGGAAGGATGTGGAAACCGTAGAAAAACTCGTTCAAACACACGACGTGGTCTTCTTGTTAATGGATACCAGAGAGAGTCGGTGGTTGCCAACGTTACTCACCTCTGCCCACTCAAAGATATGCATCAATGCTGCACTTGGATTTGACACGTACATGGTCATGAGGCATGGCTTCAGGTGTGTCTACTGTCCCATTCACTATTCTTTTCAGCCATTACCAGAGGAAATTTCACAAAGGAGCGAGTCATAAATTGCTTTCCAATATTCCATCATTGGTACCGATTTTTTCCGCTCACAAAACCCTGAAGGTTTCTCCCTCAAAAAACTTTTTTCTAATGTCCAATTTTGTGGGATACCCACTCAAAATTTAGGTTGGCCCGCAAGCTTTGACATCTGTGCATAATTATGTGCATCAGCTCATGCTTGCTGAAAGAGAGAGAAGGGGAAAGGAGGATGTCTTCGTAAAATACTTGTATCTCTGTTCCAGACCACAGCCTGGAACAGAGACGGGATCCCCGGGAGTCATTGTGGGGGGGTGTGGCAGTGGCATCCCTGGAGACCAGCTGGGGTGCTACTTCTGCAGTGACGTCGTTGCTCCAACTGACGTGAGCGAAGGATTTCATTTCTGTGTGGAAGAAACATAATACTGCAATAATATGTGATGTGTCTACAGTCCACGCGTGATCGGACCCTGGACCAGCAGTGTACGGTATCCAGACCTGGCATCTCCATGGTGGCCGGTGCTCTCGCTACAGAGCTACTAGTGTCTCTTCTTCAGCACCCCCTCAAGTACGTAAGACTGAGAGTGCAGTATAGTGGCTTGGTTGAATTTCAGTTTTTAACATTTCTATGTTTTTTATATGTGCATGTATGCACCTGCAGTCCAACTATACACGAGGGGGCAAGGGTGGCAATTATGCCCCCCCCCCTCTAAAAAATATCTGAACTACGGCCCCAATAATTCTCAAAGAACCTTGCCTCCCCCTGAAAAAAACAAGCTTTATTCGGAGCGTCCTTTAGCGGAGGTTTCACTGTATACTGCTGTAGGGCACTGGCACCTTCAGACAGTCATACTGAGGATGACAGTGAGTCAGAGAGCTGTCTGGGCCTCATTCCACACCAGGTATGGGAAACTCAGCTTGTGCATGCAAAGTGTGTCTTGGTGATCACATCACTTTCAACTAGTTACAGTGTTGCCATTTAAAGAGCATCTGTGTAACTTTCAGTATGCTAACATTGTGATTCGGAGGCTAGTCCAAATGTTTTCCGTGTACGTGTGTATAAAGGACTCTATCTTCATAATGTTCATAGCCAGGCAAAAACTAACATCAAAAGTTTGATGAACAGTTATTTTCACTTATGTGTACTGTTTGTTTATAGGGAGTGCATGCAGCAAGCATGTGCATGGGCATAGAATTACACTGTATTGAAAGCCTTGAGAAGAAAATCAAAACCCTTCTTCGCTATGTATGTATTGATTGAAATGGTTTCTGTTTTTGTGTAGATTCGAGGATTCATGTCAAGGTTCCAGAACGTTCTGCCGGCCAGCCAAGCATTCGATAAATGCACAGCTTGCTCGCCTGTGGTATGTATAGTCTCCTGATCAGTTAACTCATAAGTATTGCATCATAATTACATCATAATTACGTCATCATGATTCATGGCTCTCAGGTACTGAGTCGGTATCGCGAAGAAGGGTTTGATTTTCTTCTCAAGGCTTTCAATACACCCAACTTTCTTGAGGACCTGACTGGGTTGTCGCAGCTGTACGCTGAGACTGATGATGACCAGGTAAATCTGGGACGTCCCATTTCTAAATTGGATGACCCATAAATTACTGGGGTAGTCTCACCTGATCTCATGAGGCTGTATTAAATTGAGTAATAGGCATTGCATTGCGCAATTTACTACTGCGTGTGGTTGGAACTATGTTAGTATTGCTTGGGCAGTAGCTCAGATATTGTTACAGTGCCACCTAGTGTGAGTCACTGAGGCAGGAAGTTTACAATCCACCATAATTGTCTTTCTGTGTAGTCATATTGGGCAGGAACAAGCCATAGCAATTACACACATTTATTGCGCTGGTGTATCAATGAAATTCAAAGGGGGGTTTATGTGTGTAACACATCTCTTTTAGGTTTGGGAGCTTAGTGATGGCGAAGATGACATGTAATACGTATGTTTTTTAGACTCTTTAAACTCTGTTTGCTTTAGTTAACCCATAACTATACAGTGTGTGTGTGTAAGTGTTATCTTCATAATGGTGTTGAACTATGTAAATTGCCATCGAAGTAAAGTGGAAATTTCTTGTATACACAATCTCTAAAAGCAGTTCTATTATATTAGTGTCATTATGATGCTAATTTTGCCTCCATGAATCACTTGCGAAGTTCTTCTCTTGTTTTTCTGATGGCACTCTGAATTCGGGTTTTGTGAGCTGAAAGCTTGCTGAAGATGCTCATTTCACCAGACAAGTCACCAATGTACACAAGGCATCCAAAGAAGCACCCCAGAGGAACATAGAGGATGATTGCTGCCACTAGAAACACTGGAGAGAGGAGTAACAGCGTGAAGATGACCACAAGTATCAGCACGAGAACCGAGACCAGAAATAGAAGATGAATATTCCCGATGACGAGTATGGCTCCTGCGATTAGGGCGACTAGTCCGAGGTTTTCTCGAAAGAACGCCGACTCGAAATCTTCCTCCGGCTCAGAGAGAAACAGTGCAGCGATGAAAGAGATCAGAAGAAGTACGTAGAGCAATCCGTAAGCCCAGAAGACTGGAAAACGCAGAGGATAGAGTCTTTTAGCCCATGACGGCATAGACGTGATGACGCCCTTCAGTTGCTTCCGAACTTCCACCAACTGGACCTTTCTGGCAAAGTTCGACGCCGTTTCCTTTGCCTTGTGGATGCCCTCCTTTGCAAATACCACGCTCGTGAAGGATTCGCACTGTAGCAGTGAAACCATGTCCACCCACATGGAAACCGACATCACCTTGATCTTGTACATGTTGATGAAGAAGAACGAGAATATGCCAAGGAGTGGGAGAATGCCCCCTGCAATAATGGCGTAAATGAGGTAACCGCTGGCACTGATGCAGTTTGAACATGGTGTCGGATTCTCGTGCCTGATTTTTACACCGATGGCAGCAATGGCCACGACACTGAGCAACATTTGTCCCATGACGTGGACTCCAAACTTTATCATCATGTTCACGTACGATTTCTGGGTGTGGCTGCTGCTTTGAGGGATGCGACGAAGCGAGTAAAGCGAAAAGGCTATCATTAACATCCGTACGAGGTAAACCGAGAGAACGAGGTAAAAACCGCCCACGATGAAGAGACTGAAGTTGATTTTTTCGCCAGAATCTTGTTGGCGGAAGGATCCCGAGACGATGAAATCAAACATGTCACAGATGAGCAGGGGATAAAGAAGAAGCTCGGACACAATATTCCGGATAAGTTCCAGAGAGTTGTTGATTCTTTTTGTCCATTTTTTACCGAGCAGGCAGCAGGACTGAATCGATTCGGGGTTGGAAACATTGCTTGGGTTTTGGTTCTTTGATTTGAATTTTGAACGGCAATAGAGCAGACATAACGAAAATGACCCGAGTTGAACACAGTGGATCATTACGTCTACTAACGACAGAACCAATGCAACGGATGCAAAGCAGATGTACACGATGTTGAAAACCTCAACGTGGTTCTGTACGAGAGATGCACAGGCCAGGAAAAACTGATACAGGGTGACCGCCAGCTCGATCAAAACCCAGGCATCACGGAAGATTCGTGGAAGAGAGGGGTTGAGGAAAAAAAACATTGCTCGGAGACCTTGGCGACTCACTTTTTCTAAAAGCGGCGTAAATGACGGTATGTAACCGTCTCCAGGAAATCTGCGAGGTTGGAGAGCCGAACAGCACTGTAGTGTTAGGCTGCAGCACCCACGGTCTGCTCTGGAGGACTCTGTTTCGCTGATGAGATCCTCGATTGCTTCCTGAGCACGATTGGAAATGTCTGGTGGAAGAAAAGGCTCCAATTCACTCGGGTAGAATCGGAAGGCATCCGGATCATTGCTGGATTCATCTGTAGCTGGTTGATCATCTCCTTCACTGTATGGAGACAGTGGGGTCAAGGTTAATGTGTAGTTCGCTGTGTTGAGCTAGGTTCACACACTATGTTGCAAAGGCTAGCAATGCGAAGTGGCAGTTTTCAAAAACCCCCCACTATATTTTACTACAACATTATGGTCTCGGAAACACAGCATACAATGTACAAACGCCCATAAGTTACTCTTTCCCCTTATGGAGACTTAGGGTACAAAATAATACGTCCGTGGTTGGTTAGGTAGTAAAGTATCTGTATCAATCACGCTTGTATAAATGCTGTACTTTGTATGGGGATCGTACCACAACTTTTCCTACAGAGTGAGGAATTTAAACTTTCTCACGATAGAATTCATGATAATGGCTATTTCATATCCTTACCTGGGATTTGTAGGCTCAGCCTTCTCCTGGACATTTCTATTTGCACCTTGTGTGGTGGGTCTGTCTGTAGGGGTGCCATCCAAATCAGTTTCCTACATATGGCAGGGCAGTATAAACACTGGTAATTAGTTGTGCCCACAATAAAGAGGAAGGTATTGTAAGAGCTGGCAGCTAACCAAGATGCGGAATGGCTTCACAGGATGTAATGGCAGGTGCAAAAAGTTAATACGTGCTGCTTTTGGTAATGATTGCTTATGTCTGGCCAGCTAATATCCTGTTATTCAGACTTACATACCTGGTGTACTAAGGTCTCTGTGGTGGGCTCTGGAATGTTGACTGGGTCTCCTTGAATACCTATAGACATCGGCCAATACAAAACCTTTGTTCACGCCATGGGTATAATAGACACCATGAAAACAGATGCATTTTAGAGCATTGGCCCACTGTAGCTAAACATACATTGCTTTTATCGACAAGAGGCTGAATAGATGATGCCATAATGTCAAAGCCTAAGAATAGTGGAAGCTATTGCCTGGTGTGTAGCTATACACAGAAATTATAGGCTAAAGGTGTGGGATCTATGAGTCTTTGACCACTAACTTTATATACTCACGTTGGCTCAGCTTCATTCTCATTACTTGAGAGTCCAGTACATCAACAACTCTGTCGTCTCTCTGCAATTCCGCATCGTCTCCGTCGAAATCGTACTCTTCCTCCGAGGACGTGTCGTTGTCCGCGCCTTCTCGTCTCTGCCGCAGCTTTGGCCGCCGTTTCTTGCGGACCGTGCTGTTTCCTGCGAAGCGTAGGTGAAAGCTCTTCGCGTAGTCCACCGTAGTAATAGCGCCGCTGGTATCACTGGAATCCGCAGGCTCCAATGTTGCGTTCGACTCGTCCATCGCTCAGTCAATGCCTGCCGCGCCGATGCGATGGCTTTATCTGCTTTGCTTGCGCACGCGCACATGTTTAGCGCGCCCCGGCCCCGGAGCGAAAGAATGCGGAAGTTGGGAGCGCGCTAAGGAATCATAGTTACGCAATAATTATTATGCCGTATACGCATGCGCAGGTCGCAGTCGCTAATTAGCGCACATCGACACATGTTCACACACACACGTACACAGAGAAACAAAATTAATCATGCATCAGTAAAATAGTCAACATTTGGGCCAGATGAGCGGAACACTGATAGCTCCTCAGCTGCCACTCTGCACCACTTACTGAAAACGACGAAACAACCAACAGGGATATAGAAGAGTACAATGAGAGGTAGCACGATTGTGAGGACTATACAGGTAAGAAGGAGATAACCTGCCGATATAGCAAAAAATACAAGCATTAGAAGTATAATTTTGATATTGAACATCAGAAGTAGTATTCCGCACACAAAGAAGGCAACTGTGACTGACACATCATCAAAAATGACAATTTCGACAGTAGAACCAGTTGGAGATATAGGATTTTGAGTTAGGATAAGAGAAACTAGAAATGTGAACAATCCAAGGACAAAGACCGTGCCAACCATCATGTGAAGAGGAAGTTTCAATGGGAAGAAAAATTTCTTGTACCACTTCGGCGATGTGTAACGCTTAAACTCTTTTTGTATCCTTTTAAGCTCCGAGTCTCTCACAAATTCCTTTGCCATTTCAGCAGACGATTTTCCATCTTCAGAAGGGAACACAACCTCAGTAAAGCTAGGAGCTTGCAGCATGGCCATCATATCGATCCAGAAACTGACGCTGAATTCCTTGATGTAGTAGTAGTTGGTGACAAAGAAGGAGAGGATGCCGACTATTGGAAGGAGACCTCCCAGGACCACATTGATCCAGAGAAAGGAACTGGCAAAGATGGTGTCCTGCTCGCCAAAGTTGGGATTCTCCTGTCGTATCTTGAGAGCGACAGAAATGATAAGGAGGGCGTGGGTAATGATTTGGAAGAGGACGTGAGCTGAAAACCATTTCAAGAGTGTAACATTCTTTGTTTGAGATCCGGAAGAGTTTGGCATTTTTGGTATACGACGAAAGCTTAATAGTATTCCAGCGATGGTGATTATTCTCATGATATAAACAGCAAGAATCAGGTACAAACTTCCAACGACAAAGAGAGTGAAATTGAGGTGATCATCATTATTGACATTTCTAAACACTCCACCGACGATAAAGTCAAAGAGATCGCATATTAGCAGTGGGTAGAGAATAGCTTCGCTGATTATGTTTCGCACGAGCTCAAAGTAGGTGTTGAACTTCTCTTTCTTCTCTTTGCTCATTCGACAACATCCCTTCCTTTCACTGCCACCGTCTTCCACTTCTAATAACTCCAGCTCTGCTTCCTCCCCTCTCTTTTTCAATTTCACGTAGCAAATCTTCAAGCATTCTGCGCAGGAGCCCATTTGGACAAAGTAGAGAAAGCAATCGATGATGGCTAAAGCAATGCTGATGATGGTGAGTGTGAGGTATACTATGTTGAAGACTTTGCTGCCATCACTGAGATCAAGAGTGAGCAAACCAAAGACAAAGGCAAACATTGTGATCCCAAACTCAAGATAGACCCACAGATCCTGCAAGAGGTGAGGTAGCGCCGGGAAGACTAGCTTCTTCATCATGTTAACCCCTTGACTGCTGGCCTTTTGGAGCTGCGGGGAAAGCTCTGTTTCTGCTGGCAGACGATTTTCGACTGACTTGTGTGCTTTCTTTCTGAAACAGAAGCATAATCCTTTCTTTTCTTCCTTCTTGTTGTTTCTGGAAATTGCATCTGCAACTGTGGAAGCAATGGCTTTTTGAGCTCGACGACGGAATTGGCTATCTTTTTTTAGAATTTCAGGCTGGTCTTCGTAGCTCATCATCTCAAATGCTCCTGTCATGTCATTCTCGCTCATCGCGCTAGGAAAACAAGACATGTATCTATAATGCATACAAAATGTGGAGAACAGATCAGCAAACAATACCTTTCCAATACGATGGGTTCGTGAGGTACCCTGCTTGGTTTCTTTTTAATATGAAAACTTCCTGCATAACGACCAAAATATGGTTGCTGGCCGTCGTCCTCTATTTGGTGCAGCTCTTGCTCTGAACCTCCAGATTCCCTCTCTTCATTGTCACTGCTTCTTGCGCTATCACTGCTGCTATTAGCTGGCCGGATATCAAGATTTCCTCTTTGGAGTGAGCTCATCCTCAAACTGTTTAAGATATAGGCGAACGCAAAGAATGATGGCAAGCACAGCACGATACATTGTACAATTATATATACCTTTCTTGGGGTCCTGTGTGGTTAACAAACGAGCCAGAACGAACTGGCCATTCGGCTATTTCAACATGTAGCTGTGAAGATGAGTCTTCGTCATCCTCACTCTCGGGCCCTCCCTGAGGCTCACTCTCAGACTCGCTACTGCTACTACTGGAATCACTGCTGCTGCCGCTACTGTCACCTTCAATCTCAGCTACGTCTCCTGGGTTGTCTTCATTGGGCGCCTCGTGGCCGAAAAAAAAAGTGTCACTTGAATTCGACATGTTTAGCTGAGATGCGACCGAGGAACATTTGCTTTAGCAAGTTTTGTTTGCCACTGGAATCGTCTCATTTTTTATAGGAAGGCATGGAATGTTGTTTTGTGGCATATTGCGCATTTATCAGTACTCACTGGTGAGATGTCCCTGCTCTTCCCATCAAAGTGTATGTGTTAGCCATAATGTGTAGAGATTCTTTAACAAAGCCTTTCAGAAAGAATCTGTGTAGTTGCTCCATCCCACGGAAGGCATCGAATGTTAGAGGCATTGGTGCGTATTACGTACGTATGTTACAAACGTGCAGCTCCAATTTTCTGGAAGGGAACTTTATACCTCTTGGGATCTAAAGGAGACGCATTCCGCGCAGGCCTTCTGTAGTAGTGTATCAGGGCTCTCGGGGAAAGAAGAACCAGTAAAACTCTAAAGAAAATGTCTACTGGTGAAGATCAGACAAACGTACGCGCTGCTTCGCCGTCATCGTCCGCCGCATCGTCAAGCGACGACGAAGAAGCCGTCGGCAGCGCGCGCGAAGAGGACCGCCAAGCAGATACGTTGCGCACCGTTCAGGTCGTATCCGCACCGCCGCGTGAGGGGACAAGCGACGAAGGAGAGACTGAGGGCGCCAGCTCCAGTTCTAGTGAAGCTGAAGAAGACGCGAAGGAAGAAAACGGACCATCGCGTGGAAAATCTTACCTCCAAAGTATCCGAGCCAGAAAACCGAAAAAGAAAGTGTACGCCAAACCAAAAAGTAAGTCAAAAAGATAGCGAAGGATTGGTACTGTTGCAAGTTTATTTGCTTTCTGATTCAGATGAGACGGCAGATAATAGAGAGCAAAACAAAGACGATGCAACTGTATGTAGTGCATGTTCATGTACTATCATTTGAATCACATTCAGTTTGTTAATTATGTATGTTGGTGATCGATATAACCGAGATATTTCGTTTCGGGTGATAAAAGCATCGGTACATGAAGGCCAAAACGATGGAGTGCATCAGTGCATACAGAGTTAAATCCCCACATGGATACTGGGTGTGCATAATGGGTACGTATAGCTCTGTATACTAGTGCGAACACCACCCAGTAGATGGCGTAATGCAACAGGAAATTTTGCGGGTGACTGAGCCTGTGTGTGGGTCCTTACTCTCTCACTATTTCACCTGCATTGTGTATGTTAAATTCCCCATTCCCATTCCAGGCATCACCAGTCAGTGCTCTTACACAAGAAAATGATGAAAGGTACACTAGTTACCAGTAAACATCTTAGGGTTTTCTTGTTTACATTAAGTGTTTCTGTTTAGCAGTTATTATTATTAGTGTGAAGCCGAGTGTCACGCCAATTACAACGGATTGGAATCATATCAACTTACATTAGTGGGAGTTTCTTCTGTAACTTATTCATAGTACTCTTCTATTCAAGAAATTGGTTCTCACAAATTCCTATAGTGTCTATTACAATTAAATCAGTCGCAATTGCATGGGAATTTTGCCGCCTTCAGTGTAAACAACTCCTCAAGGGTTCTCTGGTCCCGGGTTGAGAGTTTGACTATACTGCTAATAATTCTAATACTGCTGTCGTACAATGTTTATGTTTAATACCTTCTTAGCTCGGGAACTCTCCAGCGAGGGATAGATGTCCATCCAACATACCACCGCAGTGATGGCTCATCGGGCTCGGAGAGTGGCGAAGAAGACATCGATGAAGCCGGGTGGGAGGAAACATCTAGAGCCTCAACACAGCAGCTGACACAATTTGAGACAGAGGAAGGACAGAGGCAGAGGGAGAGCGTGTTTTCACGATTCAATCGATACGCCGGGAGTTTTCGCATCAAACTCTCAACCCGGGACCAGAGAACCCTGGAGGAGTTGGAATCGGAGGAAAGGTAATCCATATCAAATTCCTTTGCATGCTCACGTTTCTCTCAGTGATGTTTTCATGGAAAGACACCGTGCATCCTCATGCTTGCATCGTGCCGTGTTTGAAAACTTTGAAAGCCCGTCAAAGTCAATTCTTTAGCTCTTGGTCTTCTTCCAGTAAAGCATATTAATTTTTGGTCTTTAGTGACTTATTGTGATTCTTGTAGAGCATTTGGTACATACTTGTTTCTAAGCTATTTGTTTTCTGTGATACGAACCACAGCGACACAGATGATCTGGCGGGGGCATTTGAAATGATGAGCCGTGAAGATCAACCCGATATTCTAAAGAAGGATTCAAGCTTTCGAAGACGGGCAAACAAGGCTATCTCAGGCGCCATAGCCAATGTACTACCACAACCTAGGAGAGAGGGGGAGGGGGAAGAGGAAGAAGAGGAAGAGGAAGGGCTAGGATTGTGCGGCTGTCTCAAGAGCAAAAAGAAAGTGGGTGAGAAGGAGAGCGAGAAGAAAAAGCCAGGAGAGAAGAAAAAGAAGCCACCGGCTACACAACTTTCCCCGCAGCTCCAAAAGGCCAGCAGTCAAGGGGTTAACATGATGAAGAAGCTCTTCTTTCCGGCGCTACCTCACCTCTTGCAGGATATGTGGGTTTATCTTGAGTTTGGGATCACCATGTTTGCCTTTGTCTTTGGTTTGCTCACTCTTGATCTCAGTGACGGCAGCAAAGCCTTCAACATAGTGTACTTCACACTCACCATCATCAGCATTGCTTTAGCCATCATCGATTGCTTTCTCTACTTTGTCCAAATGGGCTCCTGCGCAGAATGCTTGAAGATTTGCTACGTGAAATTGAAAAAGAGAGGGGAGGAAGCAGAGCTGGAGCTATTAGAAGTGGAAGACGGTGGCAGTGAAAGGAAGGGATGTTGTCGAATGAGCAAAGAGAAGAAAGAGAAGTTCAACGCCTACTTTGAGCTCGTGCGAAACATAATCAGCGAAGCTATTCTCTACCCACTGCTAATATGCGATCTCTTTGACTTTATCGTCGGTGGAGTGTTTAGAAACGTCGATAGCAATGATCACCTCAATTTCACCCTGTTTGTAATTGGAAGTCTCTACCTCATTCTGGCCGTGTACATCATGAGGATGTTTCTCATCATTGGATCTGTTATTAGTCTCAGTCGCATACCAACGACTATGCCAAATGCATCAGGATCTCAAGGTAACAACATTCGGCTTCTGAAGTTCTTTTCAATACACATCCTCTTCCAAATCATTACTCACGCCCTCCTTATCATTTCCGTCGCTCTCAAGATACGACACGAGAATCCCAACTTTGGGGAGCAGGACACCATCTTTGCCAGTTCCTTTCTCTGGATCAATGTGGTCCTGGGAGGTCTTCTTCCAATGGTGGGCATTCTCTCCTTCTTTGTCACCAACTACTACTACATGCGCGAATTTAGCATCGGTTTCTGGATTGAAATGATGGCCATGCTGCAAGCCCCGAGCTTCACAGATGCAGTTTTTCCCTCCGAAGACAGCGAGTCACCGGCTGACCTGGCGGAGCAATTTGTGAAGAATTCAGAGCTGAAGAAAGTACAGAAACAGTTTCAGCGCTACAAGTCCCCGAGTTGGCTCACAAAGTTCCTCTTTCCACTGAGGCTACCTCTGCTTGTGACCGTCGGGATGTTGTTTGTGCTTGGACTTTTCGCCTTCCTCGCATCGCTCATTCTCACCCAGGATCCTGTGTCCCCAACTGGTTCGACCATAAAAGTGATTCTCTTTGACGATATTCCGATCACAGTTGCGTTTTTCTTGTGTGGGTTGCTCCTCATGGCTTTCAATTTCAAAATCGTCATCTTGATGTTGGTGTTTTTAGTGCTGAGTGCAGTTTTTCTTGTGGGGATGTGCATCATGGTGGTCGTAATGTTGCCCTTTGTTGTTCTCGTGTATTTTCCGCTAGGCTTCTGCTTTGGTTGCACGAAATGCTGCAAGAACACTTGTGAAGAAGTGTCTGTTTTCACTACACCTGGTACAAAAATTGACTATTTTAATGCCGTATAAATTCTCTGTGTTTCTATTATGCTTTGCTGCGTTCAAGTTGCGCAAACAGACTTTTGTTGCGCATGCGCTACGTCTGCGAGATTACCAAGTCGGCAAGTGGGTGGGGGTGACTGTGGGCGTGTGACCTGGTGCCCAGTGACCCCGCTTCACCCGACAGATTTACCTACCTTATGTCATGGGAGGCGCACAGAGTCAGGAGGAGGAACCTACTCCGTCCGAGGCCGGGGGCGACACGCCAGGGATCTACGAGATCGCGGAGCTGGAACCGCGTCAGTGGCCCATCGTGTACTCCAGCCAATACAACATCGGGTTCATGGGTCTACAACGACTCCATCCCTTCGACAGTGCCAAGTGGGGCAAGATATTCGACCATCTCCAAGGTGCGTGGTCCATCACCCACAACTCGTGTACGCACGGCACGTTCGCAGATATAGAGCCACACGAACCACGTGCTTGTGATATCGGTTGGTGGCTTGTTAGTTCGCCTGTACATCTTGATTGCGGTTTGTTTTATGGCCTGTAGCACATGTATTGTCCTGATGCAGAGGCTGGGATGATAAAAGGAAAGGAAGACATTTTGGAACCACGAGAGATCACCAAACGAGAGCTGCAGATGGTCCATACAGAGGAATACTTGGAGAGTCTCACTGTAATATATCCTCAACATGACCCTAAAGATCATTTCACTACTGGTTCTCTACCTATTATAGTCCAGTATGAATGTGGCAATGGTAGTAGAGGTCCCTCCGGTAGCCATTCTACCAAACTTTGTTGTGCAAAGCAAGCTACTGAGACCGTTCCGCTTCCAAACTGCTGGCACCATCATGGTTAGCACTCTAACAACATACATAGGTCTTAGATTGTGTTTTCTCCAACTTGTTTTGCAGGCTGGGAAGTTGGCAATAGAAAGAGGATGGGCCATAAACATTGGTAGGTCTGTAATTAACCCTCGGCGCGCATGCGCAGTGAGGGTTACGGTAGTTGGTTTGTCTGTCTGTCTGTCTGTCTGTCTGTCTGTGTGTCGACGCTTATTCTGGCACTACAGGCTACGAGGCGGCCCATTAGCGATACCAGCGGATTCAGAACTACGGGAGCCTGAAAAATTATTAGGCGATTTTCCTGAAACGACTTCGTTCGAGAGATATGCCGTGAAAACAAGCGAAAAAGCCAAATCGCACTGGCTTACCACGACCTGATCCGCTCGCTCTGTGTACCTTGGGGGCTCAGGAAGTCACAACGAATGGCATGTATCGACTCCCGCATGCTATCTACTACTGTAGCTAGCCCGTGTCTGACTCTCCGCGGGCTACTAGCGGAAGAACACGAGCATACAAATAGCCGGCCCAGCCCATCAATTTGCAGTATCGCGCATGTGCAGTTCGCCGAGGGTTTGCACTTTAGTGCTTTTCATTTTTAAGGGAAGCATTCTCCACGGTGGGCCTTAGGAATCAGATCTTGTTAGCTCTGAGATTATGCCATCATACTTTGATGACACAAAAGGGAAAAAACGAAGAGGGTCCCATTTGGACCCTCTAAATTTAGAACCAGTGAGAAAAACTTTGTAACGCTTCTAAAGGTGGAGGTTTTCATCATTGTTCGTCTAACTCTGGAGGTGGATTCTGTGCCTATGCGGACATAACACTGGCTGTGAAGGTACGTATGTATATACATACCACTACTTTCACGAATGTAATGACGTACTGGTACAATATAAACTGGAAGCAGAATTTGTCATTTAATCCGTGGAACTCTTTTTCTGCAGTACATGTTCAACCACATCGATGGCGTAAAGAAAGCTATGATTGTCGACTTTGATGCCCATCAGGTGAGTTTTTTAAATTCCAAATTTGTAGCATGTGTTAATGCTGACGGCAAATTACTTCTAATTAAAGGGAAATGGACACGAGCGTGACTTTCTGGGTGACGAGCGAGTGTTCATCCTGGACATGTACAACAGACTCATATACCCCGGAGACAACTTTGCCAAACAGGCCATCAAGAGGAAAGTGGAGCTGAATCACCACACAACCGACCAAGTCTACCTGGAAAACATCAGAAGGTGAGAGTTAGCTTCATTTTTCAGTTCAGTTACGTTTAGGAAGCTGCTTAGGAAAGCTAGGTCTGAAAACAGACATTACTGTGAGCAGGTGTAGCTCCTATTTTGAAGAGTTTTCCATTGTATCTAGGCATGTTTCCCTTGAGCACGTGCATGCCTATACATAAATATTACAATAACATGAGCCTGGGAAAGATCAACCTTGGTAGTGAAAAGGTGTGATGTTTTAGTCCGTTGTTTTCGGGAGAGAATACAATTGACCAAGACATTTTAAGTCAGCTCCACCATTCTGACAACCAAAGCCTCCTTTTGTTTAACTCCACAGGCATTTGCCGGCTGTACTGGATGAATTTGACCCAGATGTCGTAGTGTACAATGCAGGGACCGATATCCTTGAAGGGGACCGCCTTGGAAACTTGGACATCACACCAGAGGTATATAGAACCAGAGGCAATAAACTGGCTACTATCTCGAGCTTGTTTCCATGTAGGGAGTGATGGAGAGAGACAGACTTGTGTTTACAGAAGTTCGTAAGAAGAGAGGGAAGCCTATCTTCATGCTTACTTCAGGAGGATATCAGGTAGGTACATGTACCTAGAGTCAGTTTTGCCTTGTAAGATTTGAACATGGAACCGTCTACACAGATCTCAATGTAATGTGTATAAAAAGGGGTGTATCAGAAGGGGTGCCGGACATGTTTAATATAGCCACTGTTGGCTAACATAAGTAGCTGTCAGACCACGTGCACTATTACATGAAAATATCGCATAATATATTAAATAGCCGGACCGTATGATTTTATAGCAAATATTCGTGTCCTTGATTGTGGGGATCCATTAGTATACTACATACTCTAACAACAAGGTCACAAGGCAAGAGGAAAAGAAAGAACACAACTGCACCCAGGGTGTCAATACTACATACTCTAACAACAAGGCAACTGCAGGTGTCACTCACCAGTGTCTATGATATATATACATGTTCCCCATGCAGAGAAACAATGCGAGAGTGATAGCAGACTCGATCCTGGGCCTCCATCGCGAGAAACTGATCTCAAATCCTCTGGAGGACTCTCACGTTACGTCAGAGCTGAGAGAGCAAGGAGCCTCGTTAGCACAAGGGAGCGGAGGAAACGAGGGGGAGACTTAAAAATCCACCAGAACAATAAAAATTATTTGCATTTTTAACCAATGGTTACAATGTTGTGGCTACAAAACTTAAAGACATACACACACTTGACCTCTGATAATATAATTATGACACACTTAATGAAATTGTTTTATTGTGACTATTATATTGCGCGACAAAAGTCAAAAGACATAAACTTTACCTTCTGTGGTAAAATCACACACATATACGAAACCATCATCGTCAATTACTAGACCAGCAGGGTCTTGCAGGAGATCAAATGTTTTCAGACCAAACGAAGCGACGCATTCACCGGAAGAGTTATACGCATATACACCTTCGGAGGGGGATGGGCTAACCACGTACAGATAACCAGACTTATCGAAACATGAACCTCTAGTGTATAGCATCGGATAAGCACTAGGCACTTGGCGTAAGAGTGCGCCTTCAGGTTTGCATTGAAAAACAAAAACATTTTTACTTCCATCTGACCCAACATATAAGTCTCCCATTATGTTCCGCAATATCTTTCGTAGAATGACAGTTGGTAGAAGCAATAAACCCCAACATTTCACACTCCATGTTCATAACCACAATTCTGTGGTCCTGTTTATCTGATACAAAAACTTGACTGTTAATAACTTTAACAAAGATCGGTGAATTGAAGCTTCTGACACAGATGTACTGCCTGCCATCTTCACCGAACTTGAACACACATTTTGCTCTATTGTCAGTTACATACATGGCTCCATTCGGACCAATTGCCACTCCTTTTGGACTCTCGAACTTAGCACACCCGATCTCATGTACTCTTTTCCCGTTCCTTTCCACGACTGTTACTTTCTTCGCACCACTCTCGGCTACCACAAGCTGCTGGTTTTGATTGATGGCTATTCCCCACGGCCTATTGAAACCGCCTATAATACGCACCGGCTTTCCAAGCTGAGTTGGATGGATCTTTACAAATATGGAGAAAGGGCTTCCACCAACATCTACCCCATCGACTCTCACAACCAGATTATGTCTACCCCTGACTCGAGGTGTGTATGTCACGACACATGCGTTATCTAAGAACCCTACCGAGCCTTTCACTATGCAATTTGTGTCCACCAGTGATCTCAACTCGATCTGTACTCTGGAGCCCAATTCCTCGGGTAGCTCAAAGAAGAAATGAGTAGGCTCACCAACATTGGACTCGGTCGGAGGTTCGAATGTGACGGACGAGGCACACTTATTCGTGAAAACCGCTCCCAACTCCTTTGGAATGGCATCAAGAGGTGGAGCCTTGTACACCAAGTCGCCCACTGCGGCTGGTGGGAGACTTAACTTGCTATAATGTTCTCCTTCTTCCTCCAGTTTGCCCTGCAGTTGGGTGCGAATTCCCATCAGGTCTTGATCGCTCGCAATTGTCACGCTTTTCTCTACAAACTCCAAAATACTCTGTATCTCAGTCTGGGCCATTTGCAATCCCTTCACCTGCCCCGTCAAAGCTTCAATCTTGCCCTGGGCTACCTTGTTAGCCTTCCTCACTAGGTCTTTCTGTCGCTGGTCCAGGATACCCTTCAATTTGTCAAATGACTGCTGGATTTCTGAACAGACGGCCTCGTTTTGAGAAACGATTACGTGTTTCTCTAAGAGAATAGCTTTTTCGGCATTAGCAATATCTCCCTGGGTACTTTGCAGTGGAGCGAATGAATCAAGGAGTTTCTTGCGGCTCTCAGCTGCACCTTTTTTCACAAAATCTGACTTGTGCTCACGATGATCGTAAAGAACACAGTCGCGGCATATTAGGCGATTGCAATCAAAACAGAAAACTTTCATCACATCGTCATGCTCTAGGCATTTGGGAAGGGGGGCTTCTTTTAGGATAATTTCCCTAGACCCTCCCTCTCTTAGATCTGCTAGGGTCGTCACCTCGTGACTCGAAAACGACTTCATCTTCTTATGGCAACGCGCACAATCCTCGCAAATGAACTCGGTGCACTGGCGGCAAAACGCTACTGACGTCCCCTCCCCACACTGTTCGCACGCAGCTTCAACTTTCCCTTCCACCCTCGCCATTTTACCGTACAAGTCCTTCATCCTCTCGACGAAGAATGCACCGTCCAGCTCCGCAACACCTCCCGCTGGTAGTGTGGTGGACCGGCGACACTCTGGGCACTCGAACGGCTTTCCTCGCGCGTGGGTTGCTAGGTTCTCGATGCATGCTGCGCAGTAGTAGTGGTTACACGGTAGGAGCTTGGGTCTGTCGTAGTGGCTGTGACACACGGCGCACGAGATCTCCCTCTCCAGTTCTTCCAGCGGCTTGTCGGCCACTGCACCGGCGGTATCTTGCGGACACACGGCCATCGCTTCATGCAGCAGCTGCTCTTCTTGCACACAACTTACTGCGCGCACCCATGCGCGCGCACTACTTGTTAATGTTATGCGCATGCGCATATAAAGTTTCCATAGCGACACAAACATCTCTCCGCCGCTCTTCGATCCCATCTGGTCAGCAGAAAACTAGCTGAACTACTGTCTAGAGATGTATAAGTTGGATATTCGAGTCGATGCAAAGGAAGCTGCGGCTACGGAGTGGCGACGGAGCCTGGAGCGAGACCGGCAGGCGCGCATCTTCAACACCAGAGAGCGTACCATTGGGGTGAGGATAGCTAGCCATCAATGATGTGTCTGTCATTGTCAAGAGGTTCAGCGGCTCGTAGTACAAGTGTCGTTTGTATGCAGGTTGATTTGGGGTCTTTAGAGAATCAGGTGACAGAGAAGAGACAGAGAGAGTTGGAAGAAAGACAAAGACATGAAGCCTTTGGTAGGTACAAGCTTAGCACTAGATGGTGCAGCTGCAGAAGACGATTGCTCATTACAAAGCAAATAGCACCCTTGTATACATCATTTTTTCAGCTCAGGAGATGATAACGCAGGACAAGGTGGTTGAACTACTGCAGCAGAGGCAAGAGAAGGATCTCAAACAACTCAACAAGGTTGGCAGATATAGTTGTCACGCACACTATTTATGATGGGGGATAGGTACAGTAGCTAGCCAGATGAAACTGTGTGCATTCATAACAGCATATATAGTGTGCGATTTTTAAGCACAAAGACAAGGGCTTCATAAGAAACAGGCACATTGACACACAAATCCTTTGCTACAATGAAAGATTCTTCTCCGCCAAACTGCTGCAGTCGCTCACAGAGTATCGCAGGGAGCACCAGCGGATGCAGGACCGGAAGGAGTTTGACCTCTATGACCCTGACTCCATGAAGAAAAACAAGCCTGCGAGAGAGTCTGACGAAGACCAAAGGTCCATACATGTGTACCTAACAGCGCACACCTATATATATTATATATACATGAAGAGAATAAGAGAGAGGGGGAGAACTTCTGTGTTGGATTCACGGCATGTGTATATACAAACATGCTAAGACTCACACACACAAACACACGTGTCACATGTCATGAAGAGGGTGTGGTAGGGAGCACAGTCTATTGACGTCAAAGAAGTCGAAGTCGTTGTGTGAAAACGGTTTTATTACAATACTTTTCTCTGCTATAATTATTGTGTAGAATGACAGTTTCTGGAATGCAAACTTTCGCTGGCGAGGACTTGAGTATGAGAAGAGAAGAAAGCTGCAGCAGGAGCAGATCAGGTTTGGAAAGAAACCTAAGCAGTCAACACTAAATGATCTAAGTACACTTGTCTTGCTCTGACAGGGAGTGGACTGCAGCTCAGACGGCAGAGAAAGAGCACACACTTCAGGAGGAGAAACATGCGGACAGACTCTACCATCTGAAGGCCTGCGAGCTAGACCAGAGGGCAGTCGACTTGGCCTCTGCCGACGAAGACACCAGAAGAAACATCACCGTTGCCACCAAGGAATACAACCTGGCCCTTGTATGTACATGTCTCATATCTCTCTCGTAATGTCTAGTGGCTCCCAAAAGTGAAACTTTTGGGGCAATTTTAATCTGGTGGCATAGACCTCTCGATTTCCCAATTTGGAGAGTACCTCATGCAATAGAAACAGCAGATTTACGATCCTATTGACCACTCTCTCTGTATCTTCTGCTTCAAGCTTTGTACAACACCCCATTATAATATAGTAAGACGTGTCTTTTCCTGCAGGGCAAAGAGAAGGCAGGGCAGAAGCAGCAGGAGATGGCCCAGGAACAGGATGACAACTTCACTGAGCTGTGTAACCACGTCCACGGAGACATGCTCACCGAGAACCCTGCCGTGGCCCAGAGCGCCTTTGGACTACACAGGTGTCATGTTTGTACATTATATTAGGCTGAGCTGCCCAGCTCAGTGGGTAAATAGAGCACTCTGCCTAGAAAGGTTGTGGAGTCCCTACCATTTTTTCGATGAGTGCAGTTTTGCACTTACAACATTGCTTTCACCGTGATTCAAGGTCATGAGTGACTGACATTCTCCACTAATATAACAGGGTCATCCCCGACAGATGGAAGGGAATGAGCCCCCGCCAAGTGGAGGAAGTCAGACGCACACAAGAACAGCAAAAACTGGAAAAACAGGTCTGAAACTCGCCACATTCCCCTGGCCAACATGAGTGCAACATGCCCATCCTAACTAAGTACCTGTATTTAGTGATAATATACATAGGCCTGTTTTGATGTGTGTTGGTGTGACAGGCTCTAGAGAGTGAGGAAAGAGAGAGGAGAGCCAGTGGGAGAGACAGAGGGTGGCGCAGGCCAGGGCCGGACTGGTCCTGGAGGCTCAGCTGGCCCGTCGCAAGAGGGACGAGCTCAGGAAACTGGCCCTGGAGAACAGGCAACTGGCTGAGGAGCAACTGGCAAGGTGCACAGCAATATACAGCCAGAGCTAGCCTTCTTCGAAAAGGAAGAGCTATCCTGGGCGTAGTTGATTTGTTTGCCTTGCTTTTACCTCGCTACCAAGTTGTTGAGACATGCAGCCACCATCTCACAGTAACTGTATATACACATTTTGGCCTGGATATATATGTGGCCTAAAGGAGCAATTTATCTTTGTACGTATGTCAAAAAGCCAAAAACGTGTGTATAGACTACTAATAGTTAGTGGGTCCATAAATCTTAGAAGCAGAAAAACCCTTACGATGTTTCGGGTTTAACGAGAGGGTCTAATGCCTTCCAAATCCAATTGACACACAATTGCGTTTTCGTCTGTGCAACTTGCGCAGCAAAATGTTGCAGTGGGGGACTTAGTCTGAGCTCGAGTGATTAGTACCGTGTGTGTTTCTCTTCGTAATACAGGCAGAGGAAGCTGAAGGAAGAAGTGTACATTAATAAACCCACGGACGGCTACTTTGCACAGTTCAACACAACAAGTCGATAAGAACAGTCACACACCTTAGAACACAGCATAACATCTGTACAATCTTGTGATGCTGGCTGTACAGTAAAAATATTGGCAGCAGTACAAAATGCATGTGGAAGTTATGTTTTGTTTTATCATTATGGCGTTGGAGTTTATAACGGGGAGTGGAGAATCTAACTACTTCTTTCCAGACAGGAGTGGTTTATAGGAACCTCGTGCTCTTCTCTTCTGGCCGTCTGACACGTAGCCTTTCATTGTTTCTTTGATCTGAGAGAGAGAGAGGGGGGGGGGGGTTAGTTCAGAGAGAGGGAGGGAGCTGTTGAACAAATACTAGAACACATGAATTATTTTGGCGAGCAAAGCGAGTTTTCAGCTTTTTGTGCGTGTTTCGAGCGTACTTAGAATCATTACGGTATGTGCAGTGGCGCGCGGTTGCACGTTTTTCGACCTTTTTCTTGTGGTAGACACATAGGTAGGCAGTGGCCGTGAACACCACCAACACCAGAATAATGCTGAAGAAGTGAATGGAGCTGTAGCCGCTTCCGCCGGATTCATCATCATCATAATCTCCCTCTCCCTCTCCTAGACTGTCTGCTATAGGGAGTCAAAGAGAGAATGATGATAACATCACACAGTGGTGGAAACTGCATGCAACTTACGTTTGCCATTTTCCACTTTGGCTTGTTGGTTAGCTGGAGAGAAAAAAACAGAACCATACATTAATAGAGGACCACATGAATGCCTATAGCTAGTCAGTTGAGGAAAGTTGAGGTTTATTCTGCCCTCCATTTTGGGTGCTAGGAATAAGCCACCAATGTACCAACGCACAATTCCTGTACATTAGACGAACTACCAGCATAATAGCTATAATGGCAGCAGAAGGGGTTCATAAAATAATTATATACATAATCACCTTCACCTACAAATTATTGCTATACTGAGCAAGTGGCTTAGCATCAGCAGGCAATGGGAATTTCACCACCAACAAACAGTCATACAATGTGCAAAAAGTGCCCAACTGTTATATACTAGTGAAGTAGCTAACCTTTAGCTTCAGTGGTTGGAAGCTCCTGTTCATTAGCCTCACTCTCACCACCACCATCTTCTATAGATACACATACCAAAAAATGACAACTACACTTATTAACAGCATACTGAGTAAGACTGGTCACCTTGCTGAGATTGGTCACCTTGCTGAGATGGAGATAAATTATTGCCTCCACCCAAACCATTGCCATCATCATCATCATCAAGGCCGGGGGGTTCTGTTACAGAGGTTGCATTGCTACTAGTTGCAGGAATTTCCGTATCAGTTGTAGGTGCAGTGTCCATAGAACTGTCAACGTTTCCATTACCAGCGTGAGCAATATCTTTCGCCACAGTAGGAATGGTTTGTGAAGAGGTTTGTTTGTTGTCAGTCGGCGAGGTAACGGAGAAAAATCTTGAAAGTATTTGTGGGTCTATATTTTCCTGTAGGTACTTGTCAATGAAAGCCTTGACTGCTACAGGATCATCAGTAATGGACAGTTTAGTGGCCAGTGAGGTGGTGCTAGTTAGTTGATTATCGTCTTGATTTGGAATGAAAGAAAAGATAAATTTATACTAGAGGAATGCAACGCATTGTTGGTGAGTGAGCGCAACCAGTTCAATATTTCGCGTGTGTTTTGCGCGTATTTAGAGTCACGTAGAACATTACGGTAGTGACAGAGCCCGACTGATAGTTATAAACAAATTACATAAAAAATTCCCGCATTGAAACAACTAGGTAGGCTCACTTCGCTCGCCAACTAAAATGAATGTGACGCGGTGCAGTTTTGGTGAGCGAATGTATGTTGTACACCTATATGTATGTATGTGACGTTTCTATATGAACATTGCCAATTAAATCTTCCAGATTTTATGGCAGCTATACCAGAATCACTGTTATAGTAGCGTTTACATGGCAATCCATTAATATAAAATTGGTCGGCATGATAATATAAAATGTGAAGTCCGCATACAAAAAGAGCACGGGAAAATGAATTTGACGTTTTTGGATTTAGCAAAAATGGCAGCCAATACAAAATGCCACTTGGTATACACACACTGGGATTAGCACGTTTGATAGTAATTGTAATTGCTATTTTAAAAGTGCACTGCATGCTAAAACATACTGTACAGCATGCAGGAGATGCAGCATAGAACATTATATACATATATATACCTGTCTTTAAGGCCCCAGAGTTTGGCACCGATGGTTTGGTGTGGCCAGGTTCAAACGTGTCCGGTTGAAGCCCTGGAGCCAGCACCGTAGTACCTTGGGCAGAGCCTCCAGACACGACTGAATGTGCCACTTCAGCTAAACCAACTACAGACAGGGTTACAAACTCAATAGCATAAACATAAAACCCTGTTGCATGAAAAGCGCAAACCCTCGGCGAACTGCGCATGCGCAGTACCGCTAATTGATGGGCTGGGCCTATTATACTAGTATACGTTTACTCCCGCTAGTAGCTCGCGGAGAGTCTGACACGGGCTAGCTACAGTAGTAGATAGCATGCGGGAGTCGATACACGCCCTTAGTTGTGACTTCTTGTGCCTCCGAGGTACACAGATAAAGCTAGTGCTAATTAGCATATTGGCTTGTTCACTTGGTTTTCACGGCATAACTTCTGAACGCGGCACTTTTATGAAAATCGCCATTTTAAAAATCAAGCCAGTGTAGCGCTGAACCCGTTGGTGTCGCTATTTTACCTGTTTGTTGCGCGTGGTGGCAGAAAACGTGGTAACAGACAGACAGACAGACGGACAAACCAAGTACTGTAACCCTCGCTGCGCATGCGCGCCGAGGGTTAATAATGATTATACACAACACACTCAATACCATAAACCCTGTTGCACATTTGCACATACACAGGCAGTATACACATTTATTGTGCCTTGCGTGGGCGGATCAAAGGAGCTGCGCATACTTTTATTTCCCGTATTGTAGTATGCGTTCGATATGACTAATATTTGAACGTTCAATAAAAGAATTATTGAACTAGCAGCAGCATCGTACACATAGTGTAGACAAAAACTGTTCTGTAGAGGCTTTAGAGGCGAGGGATGACAGTTCTGTAGAGTCTGTAGAGGCGAGGGATGGCTGAGACAAACCACACCCCTTCATTCAGCTCAGTGGCAAGCGAGACCGCGGCCGCGGCACACCGACCGGTCAAACGGCCCAGCGACCTATGAAACGGAGTTTCTTTGAGGGAGAAAGAGCCACCATCACGACCTTGTTCGATTACGGTAGCCTCGAGAACAGAGAACTCGCTCGAGAAGCCAGCGAGTGCGCACGTGCACAAGGGTAGTAGGCTACGCAGTCGTATTTCTCTCGCTGGAGGTCGACGACTGCTAAAAAGTCACAATAAAACACATAATGTGCATCCTATCGTTCTATTCATGACTTATGGGAACTCGGGTTGTGGTCTCTCGACCACACCCCTCGTTCCCATAAATCACGTATAGAACTCTAAACGCACATTATCTCTTACATATAGCAGGCATGTAAAAAAACAAATGACAATGGCAAGTAGAGGACACCTCACTAGGATACCCAACTAATCATAGATGAGCATAACAAAAGACGGCCACAAAGCCAAACTCCGCAAAACATGCACGCAGCACAACTTACAGCTTCTGGTGTCCGGCTTTATCACTTGGTTCATTAAAAAAGTAGACAATTCAGTGAATGCACTGCACAACACACTCTTAAACTTGTCTCCACAGACATGCATACATTCCTCCTTTCCCTTAAGTTTCTGCAGATCGCTAGCAAATTGTATGATGTCAGTAAGTTCCAGGGTCGAAAGGGTACTGCTCATAGACGATATAAAACCTTTTTCTAACGCATCTTCAGTATCAAGGTTAGAACAGAAGGGTAGCGACGATAGATCCGCTAGCACTCCTTCCTCGCACATATCCTTCAGCCACATTTGGTTGTTTATCATCCATAGAAGTTCAATGTTACCGTTGTAAAGGTGCACGAACGCGGGAGTAGGGGCGCGAAATTCTGGAAGGAATCCCACGCCTTTGCTGGAGTAGAAAAGGGTCAACATGTTGTCGTAGTCACAGCCTAACTCGTTCAGCACTGTAGTGATATCGCTCTTCGTGCCAGGAACGTTTCCAGTACTATCACCCCTGCCCGGCAGTTTCAGGTAAGGCCGCAGGAGCAACTTCTTCCTCGGCACCGCCACCGGCAGCGCGACGACGATAGTTAGGAGTAAGAAGAGACACACTTTACAAAGAACAAGCGACGCCATTCCCCCAAATGAGTAAGAGGAGTGAAGGGGGTGGGTAACACGGCAGGATGCGCGTTTATTAGAAAACAAAGGGTTCAAAGGTAATTACGTAAGGGTGCGTTCGCACACGTTGTCTGCAAAAAAGCTGTAGGCTCAGTGGTTCGAGTGTCAGGGAAAGAGATGGAAGAAGACGAACAGTCGGATGATTCTAGCGGCAGCGAGAGCGAGCTGCAGGAGCGAGCGGAGCAACTGCAAGCGGCGGTGAGTGGCCCGTTCCAATTAACGCGCATCTTTTAACGCATGCGCTAAAGTGAAGACCTCTTTTGATAGGTGGATGGAAACCCTTATCACTACGACAATCATGTCCAGCTGATAGGGTTGCTTCGGCAACTGGGAGACTTGGACGGAGCCAGAAAGGCTCGAAATGCGATGAGTGAAGCCTTTCCTCTCACAGAAGGTTTGTTGCCCAAGATTTCGAGTCCCAGAAAAATATGTTGGGAGGATGTGCTACTTATTACACATGGACCGCATTCTATAGTTCCTTCCTGGGTATTCAGGATGGTTCGTTAGGCTGTGTTACTCCCCACTGGCACACTAAAAGTACGAAAAGTTTAGTGTAAATTTTGCAGCAATTACCATTACACCCAAATCCGTTCCATTTGGTGGTAGGAATGTGGTTGGGATGGATTCGGGACGAGCTGCCACTGGTCAGCATTCCAGAAGCCAGTCTGGAACTGAGACAGCTGTTTGAACGTGCAACTGAAGACTACCTCTGTATGTTACCTCTCTCTCTCTCTCTCTCTCTCGATCTCTTGTAAGCTCTTGTCCTCATCTAATTTTTGTGGCTTACTTTTACATGTTTATGTGTTGGTGATTTGTAGTATCTTTTTCGTCTTTACAATTGTTGAGGTATGCTTGCAGTATGCCCAGCTTATTGTGTCGTTTTGGTATGCTACATTATGTCTATTTGTTTGTCTGTTTGTTTACTTGTTTGTTTGTGCCCTTTGTCGTTTTGTTTGTTTGTTTGTTTGTTTGTTTACAGCTGTGGAGGTATGGTTACAGTATGTTCAGTTTACAATGGACCAAATGTCGGTGGTATCAGAAGGTGTGGCCTTTCCGAGGGACGTGTGTGAAAGAGCCATCGTTAGGTGTGGTCTACATGTCTCCAAGGTGGATACCTACTGCCATGGCAACACTTAACACTTAATACCTACTGCCATGGCAACACTTAACACTTAACCAGCCAGGACACAAATGTGTCCAGAGCCTCCATAAGTCCATAAGAATTTATATGACTAGGTGCTAATACTTTATGCATCAATTTCAGCTTATTTAAGGTGGTGTCCAAAGGGTTTTAAACTTCTATGTTCCTGGTCGTATTCTACTACTGTTAGATGGAGTACAATGATACCACACTATACTAACATGCTTGAATAAGCACCCCAGGTTTTAAACGAGATGTACATCTAATGAAGATCGGCTTGAAAGGCCTTGCATTTCCCGTGATAGGAAATGTTGCAAAGACATGTGCTAAATGTTTACTGCAGGCAGGTGAACTGTGGGACATGTATCGAGGCTTTGAAATTGCACTTCTCAAGTCTTTACAGGTATGTAGTGCAGGAGTAATTTATAGTGCATGTTAGTTACACATATTGAATATCATATTCCTGTACGTACAGAAGTGGAGTAGTGTAAAATCAACGATTGGTGTGCTATCTACCTATGGCTGGTATGCTATGAACTATAATTTCATGCACAACGAGGGTTACATAATAATGTACCCATACATAATGTACTGTACATTGGCGTGTGGTGTCTGTTACCGCTATTTTGGTTACCGCTATTTTGGCATAACGCAGATGAGTGTTTTTCATTTTAGTGCTTATACGTAATAATAATAATTATGAAATATTTACGAAGCTAGCGTGTCGTAGTAATGGTTGCAGCTCTTGACTGTCTTTACAGGAAATGCAGCAGAATTCAACCGAAGATGATAACCTGAAACCACAAGTGTACGTTCACTTTTCTCTTTCAATAATGCATTGAAATTACAATTGTAGTAGTTTTCGAGGCGAATGTAAAGGACGCCTCACTAACATGGACACTTTCTTCTGTCTGTATTAGTGTTCAGATTAGAGGAGTTCCACTAGTACACTGTATACTGACTGTGTTGTGTTCTGTAGAGAGGCCCAGTTTGAAAGAGTGGACAAACTGTTCAAAAGACAGTTGGCGGTTCCCCTGATTGGTCAGTCTCACTCACCCACTATCACACACACTGCACTATTAGACCACCCTATTCTTTCACTTCACACTCCTGCTGTAGTCGAAGTATTCAGGATGGTTGGTTGGCCTGTCCTTCCCCCCACTTGCTTGCTAAAAGTACGAACAATTTAGGCCACCCTTAATTTGCACCAAAGCAGATAGTCCATATTCTGTTCTCCATCTCTGCAGGCATGCAAGACACATTTGAGCAGTATCGTCAGTTCAGTGATTCCTCCATCGCTGAAGGTGGCCTACCAGCTTATGAGATGGCTCTGAAGAGGCTTGAGATACTCCTGCCTTTTGAGAATGAGCTGGTTAGTCATGTGATAGTCATGTGACCTTACCTTACCTATGTAAATGTCACAAAAAGGTTTTGTTGACTTTGCGACTGCTTTGATTTTGCTATTAAGGTCACTGCACTCTCCAGCTATAGTCAAGGTATTCAGGATGGTTAGTTGGCCTGTCCTTCCCTCCACTTACTTGCTAAAAGTACAAACAATTTAGGCCACCCTATTCTTTCACTGCACTCTCCAGCTATAGTCAAGGTATTCAGGATGGTTAGTTGGCCTGTCCTTCCCTCCACTTGCTTGCTAAAAGTACAAACAATTTAGGCCACCCTACTCTTTCACTGCACTCTCCAGCTATAGTCAAGGTATTCAGGATGGTTAGTTGGCCTGTCCTTCTCTCCACTTGCTTGCTAAAAGTACAAACAATTTAGGCCACCCTATTCTTTCACTGCACTCTCCAGCTATAGTCAAGGTATTCAGGATGGTTAGTTGGCCTGTCCTTCTCTCCACTTGCTTGCTAAAAGTACAAACAATTTAGGCCACCCTATTCTTTCACTGCACTCTCCAGCTATAGTCAAGGTATTCAGGATGGTTAGTTGGCCTGTCCTTCCCTCCACTTGCTTGCTAAAAGTACAAACAATTTAGGCCACCCTATTCTTTCACTGCACTCTCCAGCTATAGTCAAGGTATTCAGGATGGTTAGTTGGCCTGTCCTTCTCTCCACTTACTTGCTAAAAGTACAAACAATTTAGGCCACCCTACTCTTTCACTGCACTCTCCAGCTATAGTCAAGGTATTCAGGATGGTTAGTTTGGCCTGTCCTCCCTCCACTTACTTGCTAAAAGTACAAACAATTTAGGCCACCCTACTCTTTCACTGCACTCTCCAGCTATAGTCAAGGTATTCAGGATGGTTAGTTGGCCTGTCCTTCTCTCCACTTACTTGCTAAAAGTACAAACAATTTAGGCCACCCCATTCTTTCACTGCACTCTCCAGCTATAGTCAAGGTATTCAGGATGGTTAGTTGGCCTGTCCTTCTCTCCACTTACTTGCTAAAAGTACAAACAATTTAGGCCACCCTATTCTTTCACTGCACTCTCCAGCTATAGTCAAGGTATTCAGGATGGTTAGTTGGCCTGTCCTTCTCTCCACTTACTTGCTAAAGTACAAACAATTTAGGCCACCCTATTCTTTCACTGCACTCTCCAGCGTATATAGATCAGAACGGGATCAGGATGTTATTAGGTTGGCGTCCTTCACTTACTTGCTAAGAGATACAAACAATTTAGGCCACTCCCACTTGCTTTCACTGCACTTCTCAGCTATAGTCAAGGTATTGTCAGGATGCGTTAGTTGGCTCTTGTCCGCTTCTCTCACTTAACTTGGCTTGAAAGTACAAACATATTTAGGCCACCCTAGATTTAAGCTTGTGCGTAAAGAAACCTCCTCCAGCATATAGTCAAGGGATAGAATCCAGGGCTATGGTTAGTGTAGGCGGAGAATGTCAGTTCTCTCCACTTACTTGCTTAAAAGAATACACCACACCACCACCACCAACAACTAAAGAACAAAATTATACGGGCACGACAATATTCGATTACGTGCAAATCTCAAGCAATAGCAGTCAATGGGATATTCCACAAGAGAGCGAAAGGAAAAGGGAAGTGAAAAACAGATGGTAGTTGGCCTGTCCTTTCTGGTCCAGATCATTACTTGCTAAAAAAAGTAGCAAACAATTTATGAGAGCAACCCCTAAGTCTTTCAGGCACACTCAAGCATAGTCAGCGGTATTCAGGATGGTTAAGGTTAGTGGGCCAGTGGGCGCCTTCCCACCCGACCTTAGCTTGAAAAGGGAGAAGTACAGTAAGACAGACAATTTAGGCCAACCACAAAAATTCTTCACTGACCACTCATCAACGTGATAGATAGAAGAGTGGGTATTGCGAGAGCATGAGTTAGATTTGCGGCTCTCACGTGAAGTCCTTCACTCATCCAACTTGCCTTATCTATGACGACATAAAAGCTACACAAACCAATTTAGGGGCCCACC